ACCAGGAATATTCCTGGGGGTAAAGGGCGGCCGGCGCGTAAGGTTGACAACCTTACCGCCATCTGTGAGCCGATTGTCTATAAAATGTTGGATCCTCAACATCTCACAACCCTATGGGCCTTCACGGCCTGTTACAGGGATACTTCTACTTTTTTTTTTAATGCCTTTCCATGCTTAGCATGGTTGAAAATTGTTAATAAAGAAAAATAAATTTCTATAGAATTTAGTCTAGTGGGTTTCTCTTGTGGTGTCTGAGACATCCAGGAATTCGAGTTACAGTTTTTGAGAGATGTTTTGAGATTCTGCGAGACACGTATCCTTCTTATGATGATGAAATTTTGGAGGCCGGCCAATTTTGAGATATATTCATTAACAGAGTTCGAAGCAGAATCCATAAAGCCTTCTATCTTACTGCGTAGATTTACAGTACTACTGGTCTAAGCCTATTACTTATTATTGATAAATTATTTTATTCGTTTTTTTAAAGAAAATTTATGACGTGCAAGCTCTAAGATAAATTTATTGTACGTAAACTTAAGGTCTGCCGTGTTTATATTGACTTACTAGTAGTACTTCTGAGTACTGTGCAGGTATGTTTATGGTCTGTTTTCATGCGAAATTTCGTATTCCTGGTTCTACAGATTCAAGTTATTGCCAGCAAACGGTAAGTATAGAGAACTTTCCGACGACCGCCATGTTATCTTTTTAAATTCAATAAATTACCTGAACACAAGATGCACGATTTTTACAAGATTTCCTACCTTACGTCATATCAATATTCTGTATTGATGTCTGCTACATGTTAACCTCGGAAGAATATAAAGCATCCTTCCTCAGGGTTGAACAGTGAGCTGTGCAAGAAATCGGCAGAGTTCTGCCAGCTTTATGTTGGTTTCTTGCTTGGCTTATCATTCAACATGTAGATGGAGACAGTATGTTCCACCGAAACGTCCGTTAACTTTCACCGAACTACACGGCGTTATATCTGAGAAGGTGGAAATCTTCATATCCTCCGCGCTCAGAACCCAATTTCCATACTCATTACATTCTTCGACTGCCTCTGTGTTCTAGTGGTCAGAGTTCCTGGCTACAGATCCAGAGGTCCCGGGTTCGACTCCCGGCACTACCAGATTTTCTGAGAAGTATTGGGTCTGGAACGGGGTTCACTCAGCCTCGTGAAAATAATTGAGGAGCTACTTGAATGAAAAAGTAGCTGCTCCGGTCTAGAAAACCAAGATTAACGCCCGTGGGGATTCTTTGCCCTGACCACGCGACAGCCTCTATCCGCTAAAGTTGGCACTAACTTCGCCAACAAGCGGTGGTCGCTCGGTCGGTATAGTTCCCTTGCGGACTGAAACCACGGAGTTTTTGTTTGTTTTTTTTTTGTACATTCTTCTTCGAAAGGCTTTGTAGCTGTAAAGATTTCTTTGTAAGCGCCCTTTTTCCCCGTTTATTGACGGTTCTGTTGAAGTCGGGAGGTTACGACACGCGTAGCTGAAGTCCCTAAAGTCCACTTTGGATGAGACAATGTTTACGATCGAGGCATGTTGTATGCTGTGGATGTTCTAGTCTCAGGTCAGTGCCGGTACATTGGGCAGCAAGGGGGTAGTAGGTTTGTCATGCTATTCTCCAGGACGTTTCGTGAAAGCAGGATAACACGAAACCTCCGTTCTTCTGCACTACTCTTCACTCTGTAGTTCCGCCGCGAATTAATGACCCCTCATATCAGAGCTTTCCGCCTCGAAACAGCATTGGTCGAGAGTTGCGTATTTTCTGCGCTTTGCAGGTGAATTACGTGGCGAATATTTTTGCTCCTAGATGTCCTTGACTGTCCTCTGATCGCTGCCAGTTTGCGATTGCACGCTTCGACCTTTGGAGATAAAAAATGAAGATCTGACAACAACACTGCAGTATTTCGCCAGAGCTTGTACTTGCTGGGCTAGGGGGTCCTGAAACCGCGGCGCGACTATAGATTTATTAGCCCCTGTTTACACGAACATTTTAACACGACCTAAATTTCGGAGTTCACTCAGAATGAGTTTCAGTGCGGAGCCTTCGAAAAGTTGATAGACAATATCTTTGTCAAGAAATTCGAGTAGACCCAAAGGCAAGCCCAAGTATCCGTGAAAGGAACTCACTGGCAGATCTAAACAAAGAACCCCAACCTCCTATCAACTTTAAAGTAGCAACTGGCTACAGGCTGAAAGACCGAGGGGTAGGAATTCGAGTCCCTGTAGGGTCAAGAATTTTCACTTCTCCATATCGTTCTGACCGGCTCTGTGTTTCACCCAACCTCCAAATATACAATGGGTACCCGGGGCTCTTTTCCCGGTGGTAAAGCGACCGGGACATGAAGCCGACCACTCACCTCCAACTAGTGCCGAGGTCACGAAAATGTGGATCTATATATCCACCCCCCATACGCCTTCATGGCATAGTGCTTAATTAGTTAAGCACAGGGATAATTTTACCTTATCTCTACCAAGAAAGCATACCGACTGCATCCTGTCTGTGAAACGATTTGAGTGGAATCTGACGTTGGATTTTATTAAAATTCGAACGAGAACTAAAGACTTAAATCCATTTGACCTGTAAGGGATCTCGCCTTACAGACCTACGTGAAAATTGTTTTTCTTCGCATTAAGTGCATATCTAATGGAAGACACAGAATGACTAAGAATGCACTGCGGCGAGCAATTGCCGAAGGACCTCTAATAGTTAAAAAATCATGAGCTTTAAATAGACCATGTAAAAGTGTTATGCGGCTGCTTTCAGATCGACCAGTTGCTTGAGAGGCATTCTGAATCAACGGTAACGAATGTTTAACGTCTGTATACAGAATTCTTCATATTTGGCAGCTTAAAAACGACCTTATTTCATTTATTTCTGAATAGGTCATAGTTGAAATGATGTAAGTTCTTAGTATATTTCTCTTTCTTTAAAATTCTGTATCACCTGAAAACATGCTGTCATAATCCGCTGATCTAATTTCTTTGAATGCCTTCATTATCTGGTAACTAGCGTCTTTACCAGAAGAAATAGCTTTCTTTCATTTACTTGATGACAGTTGCATGTTACCCAAACGAATTCTTAGGTCATATGTCAGTGTTTTCCGTCTTGTATGATGGCCGTTTGCAATTTGACGACTAGAACGCCAGTGACAGTAACTGGATCAAATGGACATCTGAGCATCTGATATCCTGTTCGGCTAGATAATCGCCATGAAATGTGAGTTTCAAGAAAAATGATGGTAGTTTAGTTTCAAGACCCTGCATTCTCATAAAGGCTAAAGGTAAAAAAAGGTAACAGGCCGTGAATGCGCATACAATTGTGAGACATTGAGGCTCCCACATTTTCTCTAGACAGTCGGCTCACAGGTGGCGGAGAGGTTGTCAGACTTACGCGCCGGCCGCACTTTACCCCCCAACAAAATTCCTGGTACTCATTTCTGTTAGAGGCTGAGTCAACCCCAGGGCCATAGTGGAAGAATTAGATAACTTGAAAAATTCAGTGACCTCATCGGGATTCGAACCTGTGACATTCCTCCTCCTAGCATAGTGCCTCAACCATCTACGTTGCCGCGTGCCCTCTCGTAAAGAGTAGAAAGGAAAAGAAAAAAGGAAGAAGAAACCACGGAACTCAGATTAGTCGCTTCCGGCAAGGCTTCGAATCGGTATCTCCGGCACAGGAGCATTGGTTTTACGCCGGGGAATTGTTGCTAACAATTGTATGCGAACATGTGATAAAAACCAAGATAAAATTAAGATATGGAATCACTGTCTAAGTATATCCAATTAATTTTCTAATTCTGATTAAGGCAGGGGGCACGCGTTAGCGTAGTTGCTACAAGCCGGAAAGTCGCGGGTTCAAGTCCCGATGAGGTTATTGAATGTTTTTCAGTTGACCTAATCCTTCCAGCCGCACTATGGTCCTGGGGTCGACTCAGCCTCTAACAGAAATGAGTACCAGGAACTAATTAAATAATTTTCCTGGGGAGTAAAGAGCGGCCGGCGCGTAGGGCTGACGTAGATTGTAATTTTAATACATAAAATATATCGACAATGTGACCGCTATAAAACTGCGATAAAAGTATTTTACCTTAAGAATTTCCGCAGTAATAATGTTGGTGAGGGAAGAAAGTCATTCTGTCTCCATAATCCTCGTTGGATAAAAAGGGATCACGGTAACAAGTTCCGATCCGAAGCGCGCAGAAAGAATTTGTTCACAACTGTCTAAATAGCCAACTGATAGAAGAACTGATTACCGAACTGGCATCTGCCTATTCAAGTGCGTATATCATTGCACGTATTGAGAACATTATGCTCTTGCTGCCATGTGAAATAGTTGCAAATTCCTTTGTGTTCGTACATGAATGTGAAGCTGCCTTTGGTACAAATGAAACCCGTCGATACGTGTTACTGTAACGTTGTCTCGAGATAATAGGCTGTTACAGCTAACCTTGTTGTCGTTTTATGTTCTTTTCATGTATCGAGACTTAACATAACTATGCTGAATAACGAGTTTGTGACACGGGCGAGTCTATTATTAGACTCCGACGGTGTTGCCGCAGTTAATCTTCTCCGTTCTTCATCTTATTGGGCGTAATCTGCGTTACTATGAAGGTAGTGGAGGGGGCACGCTGTAGCTTAGTTGGTTGAGGCACTGTGCTGCAAGCCGGAAGGTCGCGGGTTCGAGTCCTGATGACGTGGATTTATTTTTTTCAATTGACATAATCGTTCTAGCCGCACTATGGCCCTGGAGTCGACTCAGCCTCTAACAGAAATGAGTACCAGGAATCTTCCTGGGGGTGGGGGGAAAGGGCGGCTGGCGCTTAAGACTGACAATCTTACCGCCATCTGTGAGTCTACTGTGTAGGGAAAATGTGGGTGCCTCGACGTCTCACAACCCTATGGGTCTTCACGCCCTGTGACTTTTTTACCTTTTACAACAGACTGATATGATAACTGAAACTCGTTTGAAATTTATCATTTGTGTTGCAGATCGTACGGGATGCGGAGAGGTTGGCTATGCGCATGAACCACCGTGGCGCCTGCGCTTGTGACAACGACACTGGAGATGGTGCAGGGGTGCTTACCGCAATCCCGCATACTTTTTATGCCCAAGAGCTTAGGTAAGTCTCAAGTTTAAAAGTGTGTCAGGCGAGTAGAGGTCTGTAGGCACACATTGGGGTTCTTTAAAATGTCCCGATTCGCCAAAAGGGGCAATTTAAGGAGCACAAAGAAAGAAATTTCTTTAAGGAACGTGCCTGATCTTGTCGTCATGGAAACTCTGTGTCTGCTTATGTTGGAGTTGGGTAAGATGTCGATCCTGGTCTGCTGTCCATGAACGGCGAACCAATTTTGAGTGACTCGCCAATGCATAGGACAATAATAATAACTTCACCTTGCTCGTTACTTACGGAATCCATGGTTTTGTATTTAAAATATGTTCAGGGAAGTTATAGACTGCACCTCACACGTGTCTTTAGGCAGTACAAGTTAAACGCGCAAAAAAAATCGTCCGAATTATCGCGAATTCCTAATTAGTGAAGGTTTCATTATATATATACACGTACCTATTTTATATATGATTTTGTAATTATACACATCGTTTGGCGTAATATGCATCTCTTGTATCTTCCGAAGACCGCTTCTGTGGTCTAGTGGTCAGAGTTTCTGGCTACAGATCCAGAGGTCCCGGGTTCGACTCCCGGCACTACCAGATATTCTGAGAAATAGTTGGTCTGGGACGGGGTCCACTCAGGATAATTTAGTAGCTATTTGAAGGAAATACCGGCTCCGGTCTAGAAAGCCGAAATTAACGGCCGTGGGGATTCGTTGCGCTGACCACGCGACACTATCTATCCCCTAAAGTTGGCAGTAACTTCGCCGACAAGCGGCGGGCGCTCGGTCGGTATAGTTCGCTTGCGGAATAAAACCACGGTCTTTGTTTGTTTTCCACTATTAGCTTGTCGAGAACATCCCTGCGCCATGGAGGTAATTAGTTTATTTTTGTTATGATTTTATATAATTGTATGGGTGCACGCGTTAGCGTAGTTGGTTGAGGCACTATGCTACAAACCGGAAGGTCTCGTGATCGAATTCCGATGAGGTGGATATTTTCAATTTACCTAAGCCTTCCAGCCTCACTATGGACCTGGGGTCGATTCAACCTCTAACAGAAATGAGTACCAGGAATATTCTTGGGGGTAAAGGGCGGCCGACGCGTAGGTCTGACAACCTTACCGCCATCTGTGAGCTGATTGTCTGGAAAATGTGGGAACCTCAACATCTCACAACCCTATGGGCCTCCAAGGCCTGTTACAGGGATACCTTTACGTTTTTATATAATTGTATAGCAGTACATGCCCAGTCTCTGCCTGCTGACTGGCTATTATGACAGACTTTTCGTGGTTCTCCTTAGCCTCGGCAAATGCCGGAATAATCCCTCGTTTGTGCCATTGCCACTACGTAATCTCTTCCAATTCGTTCAGTCATTCTACCATCCGACACTGTATTGTCTCGAAACTTAAAGCGTCGTTAAATAACACATAGGAAGTACCCTCCCAGTTTCCCTTTTCCCGACTGGAACACATTGTGATATCCATTGCCGATTTTCCACGTTATCAAGTTGTGAGACATTGCTCTTTGAACTGCAGGAAGCAAACACGCAGGCCGCACTACGAACAGTTCCTTGCCTATCTTCACCAAAGATAAAGAATGAACAAATAAAACAGCAAGGTTTGTAAGTGACGAGGTCGCAGCAGTTATGAGAACAACAAAGTACAATATACGCGTACAGTGCTCTTTGCCTTCGCGCTAACGAGCACGTTAAACTATGTTCTTGTACTTTGTATCTTAATGTGACTTTGTAGGCCTGTATTTAATACGAGTGACGGCACTAACTGAAGGTCGTTTCTGTGTTCTTGCGTCGTTTTTTTATTCATAATTCCCGTAACTTCATTTCTTTGTAGTTGCTTTCGTCACGTGGTGTCGATCCTAGAGTTTTGACAGCGTTCAGCTATGGTACTTCACGGGAAGATATCATGACAGTGATAATGAACTTGGAATGCTCTCTCCGTGACCGGAACCAGTGAATCTCCCTTCGAGTTCTTGCTTTATTGACGGCTAACTGGTGACGTGTAATGATATAGAGATAGATGATTAATGGAGTTTAGCATCTCTGATGCTTCAACTGATTAAAATGTACAGGACTATATTCGGTGTCCTGGTTTCGATTCCTGGCGCTACCAGGTTTTCTGAGAAGTAGTAGGTCTGGACCGGGGTCTATTCAGCCTCGTGAGGGTAATTGAGGAGCTATTTCAAGAAAATAGCGGCTTCAGTCTAGAAAACTGAGATTCACGGCCGTGGGGATCCGTTGCGCTGACCACGCGAGATCCTCTAACTGCTAAAGTTGGCAGAACTTCGCCGACAAGCGGCGGTCGCTCGGTCGGTATAGTTCGCATGCGTACTACAAGCAACGGAGTTTGATTTTTGTCTCTTCGTAATTGGCTGAGACTGTGCTACAAGCTGGAAAGTCGTGGTTTCGATTCCCGATGAGGTCATTGGATTCTTCAGTTGACCTAATCCTTCCAGCCGCACTGTAGCCATGGAGTCGACTCATCTTGTGAAGCCCTAGCAGAGCTATTCTGAACAACGGTTGAACGTACCCCCAGATGCTGCATTGTGAAACAAAGGTTCTGAAGGACCTAACAAGTTTTGACAATGCAAAATTTGTGCGCTTTGCAACGATGCGAGGGTGAAAACGGAAATGTCTACACCAAGCCCCAACCTTGCACGGAATATCCCATCATCCAACAAGCAGAGTTGTATATAGTTTTCACTGTCATTTGTTGGATCTGAAGTCCTCACCACGATGGCTATGAAGAGTACGGCCTTCTGAGCTTAATGCCGTGTTGTTGAGAGGTGTCCGACGTTTCACATAAATATGTCACACCTATGTTCAATCTTGAAGAGTAAGCCAAGCAAGAAACCGGCGAAAGGAAGCCGCAAACTGAGCTATTTCCAAACTACATCGTGTTACAACCCAGAAGATCGTTTTGTTATTTTCGTTTCATTTCGTGTTTGACTAACATGACAGTAACACACCCTTTGCATTAAAATTGAATCTACATTTGTAGGCTTTCCCGTTATTTTCGCTAATAATTTCATGACGCAGAACATATAAGTAAAGTAAAATTTTTTAATGAAAAACTCCGTGGCCTGTAGTTCGCGAGCGAACTATACCGACCGAGCGACCGCCGCTTGCCGGCGAAGTTAGTGCCAACTTTTGCGGATAGAGGGTGTCACATAGTCAGTGCATCGGATCCCCACGGCCGTTGATATCGGTTTTATAGACCGGAGCAGCTATTTCCTTGAAATAGCTCCTCAGTTATCCTCATGAGGCTGAGTGAACTCCGTTCCAGACCCACTACTTCTCAGAAAATTTGGTAGCGCCGGGAGTTGAACCCGGGACCTCTGGATCTGTATTCAGGAACTTTGACCACTAGACCACAGAGGCGATCAAAAATTTTCATAGCTTAATAGTATTAGATTCTTGTTTCTACCCGAGAAGAGACGATTAAAGTACGAGTGACATATGTTGTAGTTCGATAACATTTCTGGAATTATGTATTCTTAAACCTTTGTTCCGAAATTTGAATGGCACTTACATTGGAGGTACAGGACGGCTTTGAAAGACTTCAGCCATCCGTCCAGAAGTTCTCAGCTGTTCGACCCAGACCTCACGTAACCGAAGCAGGATCGACGTGTATGCTGTACAGTGACACGAGCCATAATGCTATCAGATGTTCCCCAGCTTTAGTTCTGATACTTCGATGATTATTGGAAGCCGAAAGATCATTCAGACCTTTTTGCTGTGGCTGCATATCCAAACGGCTTTTGTGTAACAGAAGCTGCACTATACCGATAACTTGCACGCCATGTTAACGAACTGCGTCTGCGATGCGATTAGAGGAAAATACAAAGGGCTAGTGAAATTTTAAATACTTGTATTTTAATGGATTATAAAAATGTAAAATAAACAATTACACTTACGGGTAAAAANTACTTGTATTTTAATGGATTATAAAAATGTAAAATAAACAATTACATTTACGAGTAAAATACAGGGTGAATCGTATAGAACCGGCCCGATGAATTTGCTAATAATTCCGCAGGTGATGCATATAACCGCTCACAATTACGACATAATAATCCGTTGGCCGTGCTGATCCGGCAAGTGGCAGCCCTTATGATGCAAGGTCAAGGACAATGCCGAAACGTGTCTCTACAGTGGGCAGGCGACAGTCATGGAGTACACTATTGAACAGCGAGTGTTTCTAATGCCTACTTGAAAACGGCGGACACTTTCAACATCTGCTCTGATCACGGCACACAATCCAAGATAAGATATGTCAATTACTTTAATATCTGTATGGTATATTTTATATTACAGCTCATTTCGTCGGGTCGGTTCTATATGAATCACCCTGTATTTTGGGCGTGTTTTAAGTAGAGTATGGAATTATGAAGAAAGCAGTCTACCACATCTACACGGTGCCACATCCCAGAAGACTGCTTTCTTCATAGTCACCGCCGTGAAAACCTCAAATCTTACATAATATGGAATTAATTTGACGAGAGTATAGTATGTTCGTTGATATGACAAAGATCTGCATGTTTTTGATTAGCCCTATAAATATGGTAGGGACCGGAAAAGCGTAGTCGGTATAGCGACATGACATTGGACACGAGCCGACCCATGCCGTCACGTCAAATCCTGAAGGTGATGACAGAGATGCTCCCTGAAACGTCGGTCGTCTTTAACCAACCGACACTTCAGCTTCGTAAGCTTCAGATCTTAACGGGAGGACTGTGAGTTTTAAAACGCGTTTTCCACCAGTCTACAGCTTACTATTGACATACCAGTTCCTCTGATTAGATTGTGGAATACATTCCCGTCTAAATACTTCCGTCGACTTCTCGAATACAACAAATGCTGTTACAATATTAATATATACACGTGTTAAACTCTTATGTGGGGGGGCACGCGGTAGCGTAGCTGGTTGAGGCACTATGCTACAAGCCGGAAGGTCGCGTGTTCGAGTCCTGATGTGGATTTTTTTTTCAATTTACCTAATCCATCCAGCCGCACTAGGGCCCTGGGGTCGACTCAGCTTCTGACAGAAATGAGTACCAGGAATATTCCTGGGGGTAAAGGGCGGCCGGCGCGTAAGGCTGACAACCTTACCGCCATCTGTGAGCCGATTGTCTAGAAAATATGGGAGTCTCGACGTCTCCTAACCCTGTGGCCCTCCACGGCCTGTTACAGGAATATCTTTACCTTTTAAACTTTTCTGTCTAATTGTTTTTCATTATCTGTATTATTAACGTAATACAAGAGGTTGGCCAGAATGAACTATGGTTGCAGATGCACCTCCACTCCCCATACATCTTCGTGGGGAACTGATTAATTAATTACTGGGACAACTTTAATACCAGAAGACGCTGTCTACATCTGCCTTTAAAGTAGGAGTTGAAATGAACAAAAATTAATTTCCAGCTGCAATTTTCAGTGTAAATCCCCAATACAGAACATGCCAGTCTGTTAATTGGTTTCGAAAACGGGTGTGCGCGTGATTCTACTTTGAGTCCCAACTCAGCCGTGTCTGTGTGAAGGCTAAGGACGCGTACAGCGTGTACCGATTCCCAAACACGTCTCCCATTAGTGAATGGAATTTGGTTAGACCGTCTTAGATGCATGTTTGCATATGATTATGTGTGTGTGTGTGTGTGTGTGAAGTATATACCAAGGTCTCCTCTCGTCTTACCAGAAGTGACCGTGGCTGAAGTGTGAACAGCAGTACCTTGTAGACGTTAGATCCTCACTTCCAGTTTTTGTCATGTGACATAGATGGACACGTAATGAGGAGCTTCATAACTTGTACTCTTCGCCAAGTATAATTATCAAGTCAAGGAGGATGATATGGGCAGAGTATGCAGTATTGAGGGGGGAGAAGAGGAATGCATATAGGATATTGGTGGGAAAGTCAGAAGGAAAGAGACCACTGGGAAGACCAAGGCGTAGGGTGGACAATATTAAAATAGATAGGATGGGATAATATGGGTTCGATTGATCTGGCTCAGAACAGGAACCAGTGGAGGGCTCTTGTGAACGTGGTAATGAGCCTTCGGGTTCCATAAAATGCTGGGAAGTTCTTGAGTAGATGCAGAATTGGCAGCTTCTTAAGAAGGGCTCAGCTCCATGAGAGTGAGTGACAGATACACACGAGGGCCTTGAATGTGAGTAGTGAATCTTTAACGACAAACTCATGGTAGTCCTAGGGCTGTAGGTGAGTAGTAAGGCTCCGCCATGAACAAGGCTTTTGTCGTCAATAATCATTCAGGTTTTACTAACAAAATATCAGAAATTCTCCGTTGTATAATGTATTTTATAAACATGACGCTTCAGGAGTTTATCCCACGCCCATCTTCAGATGATTGAGTTATCAAATATGCTTACCAAGATATGTGCCTTACTTTTATTTTAATATTAGTAGTGACGGTTAGGGTCGAGCCCTGGGCCATTTGAATACAAGATCATTACGCTGATCACTACACCGTGTGAGCGTTGTGTAACGCTTCCTGTCAAGTAGTACAGGTAGCCGTAGGATACTCTGGCCTTGGCTTGGTTGGCCGACAACTTGTTTTGTCGTCCGGATGAATGCTGGTTCCTTCAGTTCACACCTGAACATATTTCATTCATTCTGAACCTCAGAACTTACACGGATTAAAGAGTCCATCGGGTTGTTACTTGATAAAATTTGGGTGCTCAAGCAGTGACCGCGAAACACGCCTGAATTCCTCCTTTTTCTCCGAGGTATACGCCATACCTGGAGGCTAGTTTATTCGAACAGCTGGCCAACTGTACCGAGCCCATTTATTAATTGCTTAACTCATTGGCTTGTTCTGCATTTATCCCACTTAAACCATGAAAGCACAATTGTATGGATCAGGATACTGGGGACGGTAGCGGAGGCGAGGGAAAGTAGACAGGAGAATAAGGAGAAAGAGATGTAGTGGAAGATGAAAGAAGAGAAGAAGGCGAAGGAAGAGAAAGAAAATAATCAAAAGTAAGGGAGAAGATATTATCAAGAAGACAAAAAAAACCTCTGTGGCGTGTAGTCCGCAAGCGAACTATACCAACCGAGCGACCGCCACTTGTTGGCGAAGTTAGTGCCAACTTTAGCGGATAGAGGGTGTCGCGTGGTCAGAGGAACGGATCCCCACGGCCGTTATCTCGGTTTTCTAGACTGGTCAAGAAGACTAATTTCAGTGAACAGAAGAGAACAAGAAAAGGAAGAAGTGGGGTATAAAGAGGAGAAAATGAATTACGCAAGGAAAACGGAAGGAGAAAAAAGGAGGCAGTTGAGGGAATGGAGAAGAGGAGGTAGATGAGGCGAGGGAAAGGAAAGGAATAAATTTAAGGAGGATGAGTATGAGAAAATATGAAACGGGTACGTTGAATTTGAAGTTATCACGTTGGTGGTTATGAAGAGTTATGTTTTCTGGGATATAAAGCCGGTGAATATGGAGGCGACATTTTCGTCCGAAATGTCCGCTTACTTGCGACGAACTACATGACGTTCTATCACGGAAGGTTGAATCCCTAAAGATATGAATAGTTTCTGTTATGCCAATTCCATATCTGTATTATCTTGAAAATCATCATTCTACAAAAATAATATGTGATTAAGGTCATGAAAGGCTGTAGTTTACTTTGAGACGCTCTGTGCTTTACAGAAGTTCATTCAGCATCACTGAGTTGCGTTCATCGGTTAATGGGGTGAAAATGTCGTAAGGAAATGGAGGTCCATCATTTCGTAGCCTTATTTGTTACTGATCCATCGTTAGAGAAGATAGCTATCTGGGAGACTATATGCTGCCCTTCTGAGTGGTTAATACCACCAGTGGGGGAAATGTGATACAAATAATAAAACATAAGACGCCCCTGTGCTTAAGCAAGCACCATGCCATGAAGACTTATGGCGAGTGAAGGTACAGCTCCATACATTCTCAATCTCGGCGTTAGCTGGAGGTGAGTGGTAAGCTTAACGCCACTGTCGCTTTACCCCTGAGGATAGAGCCCCCGGTACCCATTAGATAGGAGACTGAGTGGGCCCTAGAACAGTCTAGACAAATCTCTTTCCCCTGCAACGAATCGAATCCCGATTCGTGCAGCCCGTAGTCTAGACTCTATGTTCTCTGACTTAAGGACCGTTGTTGATTGTGGTTTCCTTGTTGCAGGGAACAGCAGAACGCGGAGCTCCCTCCCTTCGGTCGGTATGCCACGGGGATTGTGTACGTGGACAAGACGCACCACCAGGAGAGCGAGACTGCTTTCGCCCAGCTCGCAGAGGAATGCCAGTTGCAGGTGAGTACTCTTGACTGTATAGCCTTTCCTCCCCATAAATTCGATTAACGAATACACCTGTTCTCTTCACGAACTAATTAGTCGACGTTATACGAATTACATGAGCGGACATATTCGTCTTTGCACGAAATAGAATGGTCGATTCTTTGTGAATGAGTAGCATTCCCGCATGAGTTAGAAGTTTGTCTGTGAAATCCAACTTCACGTCAGACATAAATCTCATTGGACAGTATATGCCATACTACCACCATAAACAATGGTCACTACCACGGTTCTTCCAGGCGGGTGGGAGCATGGAGGCAGAAAGTTTCCGTTTAAGCCTAGAGCAAACAGGATAAGAGAATTAATTTAAGTTTAAATTTTATTTTACAAGTTAATATTTGGTGTATTTATTTTTTGAATTTTTTATTTTTTTCTAATATACCTTGGGGAATTCCACTTTTATTAGCCAGATTTTAAAAGCTCTCTGACCCGTCTCCAGTAAAAAAAAAAAAAAGTAAAGCTATCCCTGTACCAGGCCGTGAAGGCCCATAGGGTTGTGAGACGTTGAGGGTCCAACATTATGTAGACAATCGGCTCAAAGATGGCGGTAAGGTTGTCAGCCTTACGCGCCGGCCGCGCTTTACTCCCCAGGAAAATTATTAATTAATTCCTGGTGCTTATTTCTGTTAGAGGCTGAGTGAACCCCAGGGCCATAGTGCTTCTGGAAGGATTAGGTCAATTGAAAGAAATCCAATGACCTAATCGGGACTTGAACACGCGACCTTCCGGCTTGTAGCATAGCACGACCTGTCTCCAGTTGCTCAGTAATATACAATATAATGTACAATCGGAGGACTTAGTATATAAATTAGGAACTTGCCTGAGTTTTTTAAATACTGACGTAAATAATTGATGTAATATTCACAAATAACCGTTGTGGTCAAGTCAACATTAAATTAGTATTATAAATATCCAAATGGGACGAGCCCCACAGTTTCAGAATCACATCTGTAATTAGTTACGGTTCCTTTATTTAGACCGTCTCTGTGGTCTAGTGGTTAGCGTTCCTGGCTACAGATCCAGAGGTCCGGGTTCGATTCCCGGAGCTACCAGATTGTTTTTGAGAAGTAGTGGGTCTGGAGCGGCGCCCACTCAGCCTCGTGATGATAATTGAGGAGCTGTTTCAAGGAAATAGCGGCTCTGGTCTAGAAAACCGAAATTAACGGCCGTGGGGATTCGTTGCGCTGACCACACGACACCCTCTATCCGCTAATGTTGGCAGTAACTTAGCCGACAAGCGACGGTCGCTCGGTCGGTATAGTTAGCTTGCGGACTAAAACCACGGAGTTTGTTTTCCTTTGGAAGTAAATTTCACTCCCCTCCCCTCCTTATGTAATATAAGCCTCCCGGATGCTTGTCAAGTTCGATGTATCATGTGCGTTCGGGTTTCAGGTGCTGTGCTGGCGTACCGTGCCGACTGACAGTGCTGGCATCGGGGACGTCGCGCGCAACAGCGAGCCCTTCATGCGACAAGTATTCGTAACCGGCGACCAGGATGAGGAAACCCTGAAACGTCAGGTAAATGGGAGATGAATTTATTGAAATGTGGTAACACCAGTTCGCAATAGTGTTCACTTCCACACGAAGTCTCAGTGGGCGTGGTGAGAATCTCCAGTGTTTCAGCAACCTCTGGAACACCTTACTGAATCCTAATTGTCGCATAGAATCTCGCGGAACACTTGTCGAATAAGTAAACTCTTTAGAGTTCAGACAATGGTGTATGACACTCAGAATTACTGGAGGTTTTGGACTTTGTCCATTACCCGGTATTCTAAAAACTAGAAAACACAATGTTTCGGAAAAAGGATCTGCTTCCGTCCTCAGATGAGGGGGAGACATCTTGTTCTGTTGGGTTCCTTAGAAAGAGCTAACTTCAAATCACTGGTTTTTTCTAATTTTTAGAATACGGCACGATGGACAAAGTCCGGAAACCCAGTAATTCTGGGACTTATATCAACGTTATGTATCCTCATGCAAAAGCAGCGAAGTCTATTTTTTTTATGAAAGGTAGATTAAGCTGAATAGCTAGATTCTATTGACAGGAATGGTCCAAACGTGTCAGCAGGTCATCTGAAACTGGGATTCTCGATGAATACAATCTAGTTTTCTGCCCTGGAAAAGAAATCCTTAAATCCTGATTACTGCAGTGATATGAACGCCTACGATTTCAAAAACTATTTCCTTCGGCTCGTAAACATATTAGGCTTCGAACTGTAACAAGGCCGAAATAGTGGTGAGGTTGTCAGGAAGGAATATTCCTTATGACCCAAAACAAACTCGAGCAGAAATACTGAACCTGGTACGCTTAACAAAGCCAGAGTTCTTGTAGTATGTCTCATGATCACGGCCATATTGTTGTGAGACTGCCGCCGTACCACTGCCAGTGTAACCTCGTAGAATTGATACGGCCACAAGTAAAACTTGAGGTGGCTGATGAAAAACGCTGCATTTAGGCTTTCAGATGTTTTTAAATGAACAGCCCCATCGGTAATATTCCCTCCGTGGTCTAGTGGTCAAGAGTTCCTGGCTACAGATCCAGACGTCCGGGTTAGATTCACGGCGCTACCTGATTTTCACTCAGGCCCCGTGAGGATAATTGAGGAGCTCTTTCAAGGATTCTTTGTGCACATAAAAACAACTCGCATTCATGGAAAACGAACGTTCCACAAATCCTACATTTGGCATCAATGTATGTTCTATGTTTCGTTGCTCCCTCCTCTGCTTTGTGGTTTTCCAATGCAGAGCACGCCTAGGCCATCAGTTCTAGTGAATAGCATTACGGAATGCTAAGTAAACAGGGAACACAGTCGCCACTAAGCGCGTCGCAGTTACCAGGCACTTACCGGCTAGCCAAGCAACTCCATTAACCCCAGTCTCAGGTANTACCGTTCTCACGGTCTTGTCGCTTGCAGATTTCTTATACTTTTTCTTCTACCCTGAAGATGGAGGCGATACGTTCCTCCGAAACGTCGGTTAACACCACATATACACGGTGCCAAATCCCAGAAGACTGCTTTCTTCATAGTCACCGCCGTGAAAGCCTCAAATCTTACATGTATAAAGTATGTTGCAGCTCCTCTTATACGTAGTATACATGAGAGACTGTTGTGGAGATGAAAAAGTCAATCCTCATATTTTGATAGACTTAGACGTGAGGCCCTCTCCCAAATAAGAAAAGATGGTTTTTGGTATGCCATCTGTCCGTGTGTGCCAGGGCATGTATTTGACATACACCTCGTTAGAGTCTGAACAGTTGAAAGGTAAACCTATCCCTGTAACAGGCCGTGAAGGCTCATAGGGTTGTGAGACGTAGAGGTTCCTATATTTTCTTGAGATCCGGCACACAGATGGCGGTAAGGTTGTCAGACCTATGCATGGACCCCTTTTGACCCCCAGGAAGAGTCCTGGTAATAATTTCTCTTGGAGGCTGAGTCGGCCCCCCAGCGCCATAATGCGGCTGAAAGGATTAGATAAATTGAAAAAAAAAACCCACCTCATCGCGACTCGAACCGGCGACCTTCCATGTTGTAGTATAGTGCCTCAACCAACAGCGTTACCGCTTTGTGCGTGTTATATTCCTCTTTGTCATAAACTACCATAGTCAATAATTTCGTGGACTGGCCGCAAAGCGTCGTTGCAGTGCACTACAGCGGATAGGTTGAGGTACGATATGATGCCCTGTTAGTTCATCTCTCGTTACAGCAAGAGGCAGTTGTGTGCAAACAGTGTAAGCAGAACTACGGCCTCTATTGTGTACTGCAGTTAAATGCAGGTGGCGGAGATCGAAAATGTTCTGCCAGAAACTACGCAAATCCCCTAGCGAAACATTTGGCATAGAAAGAATTGGCTGTTGCTACACGACAACGCCCCTGCACATAACTCTGTTCTTGTCCAAGAGGAACTGGCAAGGCAACAGGCCACCGTTTTTCCATACCCTCTGTACTCACCTCATCTCGCACCATGCGATTTCTTTCTGTTTCACCGCTTGAAAGCAAAGCTACATGGTCGTAGATTTCAGTCATCCCAGGAAGTCGTCATTGCCACAAGAGACGCCGTACGAGAATTTCTTGCAGATATTTTTCAGCAATGTCTTCAGCAGCTATATCAACGTTGGCAGCCTTGCATAGCGGCCAACAGCAACTGTTTTGACGGCCAATGTGGATCTGTGTAAGTGTATGTGAATACCTTGTAATATGATGCGATAAAACCACAGTCAACGAAATTAATGAGTGTACCACGTAAGTTTGTTTCGCCCCATGTCTGTGCTCGCTGAATATGAACATTCTATCTCAAAGAATAATAAAATACAGGAGATCTTCAAATGAGCCTTCAAAAACAAAATGACGATCTTCTCGAAAAGGGTTCAGACGATTTTGATTACATTTAAGTAATTTCAGAACACCCATGGTATCATGAGGAAAGTAACGGCAGGAGCACTAGGGATTCAACGCGAGATGTCTCGTCTAAACCGGCCTTACATGTCGGACGGTTTTCAGTAAGCATCAATAGTGTACCGAACAGCAATCAGTTTCCTTTCTAAGGTAAACGCAGTTAACGCCAGTCGTATATGAGGAAGTGTGGACAGTGTATTTGCACCAATTTCTTTTTCATACCTCAACCGCATTCTCTCTCTTTGGAGCCATTAACCCTTCCCAAGGCACTGTTTTTACCACAAGGGATAAACCCTTAAGGTATAGAATCCATACATGGGCTACGCATCTGCAGTTTTTGTTTTGACGTCATTTTGATGTGGGTGTGGCGCTGTCTGTACCGCACTGTGACGTCATTCGGTGGAAAGGTCAGGGACTGTGATCTCTCATCCCCCTCGTTCCATCATCCCCTTGTGCAGTTTCCATGCCCCCTACCAACTCAGAAGCAGCCATCTTGGTGGTGGCGCCGGCAACCGCTCCCAGCCTCGAACAGCGTTTGTTGTTTTATCATCCCGTTACGAAGCTTCGAACTTAGACGTTTCATATGAATGTTGGTCCCGCTGTAATACAGGCTGACTGTTATACTTATTAAACAAACTGCCAGAATGTGTACAGACGGTACACATTGTGAGTTTCTGTGTTGTAGCAGTTTGAAAATATGATATACCAGAAATACGTTTCTGGTTATGTTGCCAGAAGCTCTGAGCCACAACTGGCCATACTTCTAGCAAGAAGCTCTGCGAAGAACTAATCGCCTACTTTTCTTTGATACGACAGGGACCACATAAAAATGACGTCTGCAACAATTATTTGTATGAGTATTCTTTGCCGCAAGAACGTGCTTACCGAACCGTTGCGTAATAACGACAAAGGAAATGTACATACAGACACACAGACTGATGGGAGGGGTTTATGGAGTACGCCGTTTAAGAGGAGTTCAGGTGGCATGATGTACATGCCAAGTTTCATAATGATTGGTTCAGTCATTCATAAGAGAGACACACAGAGACGACAAGGTGACGCATAAGCCTCCTTTAACTTTTACGAAATAAGAAGAGTGGGCTAAAAGCAATACTTTTGAGAGTCTGTGAGCCCGGTCCTTCTATGCAGGAGACACGTTGCTTAGCAATTGACTTTCTGTCTGAATTTATTCAATGTTTGGAAAGTCATCAGAAAGACCGTACCGTAACTGAGTTGCGTATGTTTATCAAGAAACCTGGTTCGTATGTAGAGGAAGATTCTGTATTTTCTTTTTCATTTTTATAATATCCAACAAAAATACTGTCCATACAGTAGTTCGATAACTGTAGGCAGAGAATTCAATTTTTATAATGTTAAAATGGAAGTATAATCTGCCCATACAATTACATCGGTATTCTTATTTTCACATATTTGGGGGTGCGCGTGACTTATAGACGGGTTTTGGGTTGGTGGCCGGATTTATTGCACACTTAACCAACTTGTTACTACATTTCACAAACCACTATGTGACACTATGGTCTTTCCTACACCATCACTTTGACTGCCGACTTGAGAGACCCACCAATTCTAATTCTAGCTGCCCCGAATTCTCATCCACCACACAGAAAAAGAAATCAGCTCAAAACATTGCACATACTTCTTCAAATACGATGCCCGTGGTTACTTTATCGTGGTAAAGAAATTTATTTTTCTTTGGTAGACCATTGCTGGTTAACGATGCAGTTCATAGCCCACTTTACTTGTATTAATAAATGAAAGGATGCTTATGCTGTCTCTGTATTCCCCTCAAATTCTGTAGGCTTTGAAGGCTTACGAGATCACATTACTGTCTGTCTATCCCCCAAATTTTAGCTAGCAGGCTTATGAGATTACATTGTTGTTCNTCCAATTTTTTTTTTTTTTTTTTTTTGTTTTCTGTGCTGTTCGTGTCGTGACGAAAGAATGTAAGGGGTCAGTTCTTTCCCAGAGATGGTTTCGATAAATTGCTGAAATTTAATCGAAATCGTTATAGCCGTTTTCGAGAAAATTGCCATATTGTTTTTGGGGGCTCATTTTAAGGGCACCAAGTTTTGGAATTAGAATGTTCCTATTCATCGGCCATGGACA